TTCCTTCCTATATTTCTCTCTCTCTCTCTCTCTCTCTCTCTCTCTCTCTCTCATTTTTACCAAAAGAATTGTCTACCGATACATTCACTTCTTTTTCTATCTAATAATCAAACAAATTTTTTTTACTTTTCTATTCACGAAAGAAAACAAAAAAGACAATTAAAAATCTATTTTGTTATACCCATCAATCTCATTACGAAAACAATTCAAAGATTTGTTGACTTTTGTTGAGTTTTATCATTGTGACCATCATTTTAATCAAATGGCTTGAAATGGATTTTCCAAAGATTTTAGGGAATAATTTTCTTCTAATCGATAATACTACCATGGATAGTCCACACCATGTTAGTTAAGGTAAAGTTTTACGACAATCCTCTATCAACCCTCCGTAGATATCGACCGCTCTGCACTCTGTCGACGTTTTCAGGATCTTCTGCATACTTTAGCCGTGAGTACAGGTTGTGTTAAAAAGCAATCTTCCATATTTGCAAACGAATTGACTCGAAGTTTATTCGTTATAATCGTCGTTATGTGTTCGATTTTTAATAAAAATGATTTATTAACATTAAAATATTTCTTAGATTTTCAATTCGATTATTTGTGATGTTTAAATATATTTCTATGAACTATAATCATCTATATATATATATATATATATATATATATATATATATATACATATAATTTATTAACGTTGAAATGTTTTTGAAAATTTCAATTCAATTAATTAAATTAATTATAAGGTCTTATTAATTCTCTATACAAATATTTTTCGTGTATATAAAACATTACATGATGCCAAAATTATAGTATTATTTATACAAGTATAATTATACTATAAGTTATACTAAATATAAGTATAATTTATACTTCAAAAAAAATAAGAAAAACTTTAGATACAGAGTAACAATTAATTTTATGAAAATGAAATAAAACTATATATATATATATATATATATATATATATATATATATATATATAATAAAAGATATATAAAAAGAAACTATATGTATGTGTAACTTCTGAAATTGAATTTCAGAACTGAACACTGAACACTGAAATTGCATGATGTTATAAGAAATTAAGTGTGATTCTAAATTACTTAATTACTATAATAAGGATATTCTTGTACCATTTATTGAAAAAATGTAATTCGTTCTTAAGCTGTTTCTAAGAATCTTATAATTATTAATAATGTTTATATTATGAGATATTATTATTCCTATTATCTATTGTACACACACACAAACATACTTAGGAGAAGGGGATCTTGTTTGAAAGTTACGGAGATTAGAATTAGCAATGCATTGATAAACTTCCCAGAAGTTTATTTTCGAGCTGTCTGCACTGACTGTAGAAATAAACAAAAGGCGGCAAGGTCCCTGACATTTTATAAGAATATACACGCACTAAGATATAAAAAAAAAAGAAAACGAGAAGATTAAAAATTATAATATAAAAATACATGAAACCTCATATTTCTTTTAAAAAATAATCTCGCTTTTTCCACGAACTTTCGAATAATTATCAGTTTTTATAATGAAATGAAACAAAAAAGAATATATAATGTGTATATATAAAACAAATAGAGACAGAGAAAGAAAAACTACTAACTGGGACAACATATAAGAGAAAAAAAGGTCGAATGGCATAAAATTAATTAGACGTGTACTTACATTGCGTATCTTATGAAAGTATCTTATCAAACTTTCGTATAAAAAAAAGATCGTTAAACCGTCTCTTTTCATGTTTAACACATTATATTGATCATACATATGTGTATGTGTGTATATATATATATACAAAAATACAAATATATAACAATATACAAACATACGTACATACGTAGAGGTAACGTAGATAAGCGTGTTAGTGTATGCAGGAGGTATCGATCGCGTCTCTGCCGCTCATGGTTCTTGTAACCACGAGGGGAGGACAGACACAAAGTCTATATATACATATATACATATGGTTTATATATACATATGGTATATATGCATGTGTATATGTATGTATGTATGTATGTATAAACAACAGCAGCTGGCTGCTCTGTGTCGACAGCGGTATTTTACTCTCTGTTGCATCTCTCTACACAACGAACTATTCCCCCGGCTCCTTTCTCCATCACTAACTCTCTCTTGCCTTTCCCCTTCTCCTTTACTCCCCTTTCTGTCTGTTGTCCTTATCATATGAGTGTAAATTCATCCGCGCTTCAGCAGCAAGTGAAATGTATGAATCGTCTCCTTCGTCTTTATTCTTATTGCTTTTCTTTTTTTATCTTCTTTTTTATATATTGTTGTATGGAGAGCTCGAACCAAAATCATTTTAATATTTACGTTAATATTAATATTGAATAAAGATTTTCGTATTTAAATTGTTCGTTACGTTCGAATGAGAATGTTTAAAAAAAAATAAGCGCATTTGAATCCTAGGAAAGGAGAAAGTACCTTTAAAGGATCCAATATAAGATAAGAATCATAATGTTACTTGATTAATTAACAGAATTATTGGGTTATTATTTTCTTGAAGTTTCATTTAAAATATCAATTAAAGGGCAGAGATACGAGTGCACAGTAGCGTAGAATTGTATTAATAATAAAGAGACACTGAAAATTGTATAAATCAATTTGTGACATCAGTTGTATTACTCGTGTCCTGTTTGATTGTTACGAAAACTACAAGATAGGGAAATAGTTCCGAACTTCAATATATTTATAATCATAATATATTTATCATTATAAATATATTATCATTATAAATATATTGAAGTATATCTTAAATATTGATTATTGAATATTGAATATTGAATATTGAAGTATATATTGAAGTATCCCTCTATCATGCCCTGACATCCGAGTGCACCCACATTTTTATATTCTGTATATAATTTACTATAATTTTCTTTATTGCTTGTAATGAAGCAATATTTGAAAATTTCTTTTAATTTTTTGTTTATGAAACTCAATGATTATAGAACAAAAGGTATAAATCATATTGTTTATGTTTAAATAATCATATAATTTACAATTACAAGTTTTTTTTATTGTTTGTAAAAAAACAAGACTTGAATGTCTTATCTAAAATTTTAAGTGATATTCGAATTTAATATCAGGTGTAAATAATATTCATAAGTAAATAACCCTATGAAATACAAATATAAATTAATACATTAGCGTTCAATATCGTAAGTCCCTTGACAGTATATTGAATATACACATATGCTTTATTATATTAATAACAGTTTTTGCTTATTTTCATAATAAACTTATCTTGACAACCTTGAACTAGTATATTTCTAAGCAAATTTCTCTGTGTATATTCAATATGTTGCCACGAGACACACGATATCAAATGCTCATAAATAATAAAAGTTAATTTACATCGAAAAAGTTGATTTTAGAACCCACGTTAATCAGACATTTTTTAATTATCCTAATGAGTAATATTAAATCCTTAAAATATCAGATCCTTTTTTATCAACTGCTATATATAGTATATTCCGTCAAATTCTATTGATAAAAGCTTTATTATTTGCTTTTTGTGTTCTTTAAAAGCTCGAAATACGCAAGATCGACAGATTCACGAATAAAACTTACAACTTCTGCGAACTTTCCCTGGAATGTTATACTTAATAATTTGAGTCTTTCGAAATCATATTCTCTTGCATAAATCATGTATTATACAGAAGAATAACTATGTACATCATTCGTCGAAAATTAATTCAAGACAGTGACTCAATCATCGATACAAAACAAGCTATCATTTCTAATCTCCAATCAAATTTTGAAGCAATAAACGAGCGATCAATATCAATCGAATACAATGACGTTTTAACTACGAAATCTTTCTCATTATTACGATCTACGGTAGTAGAAACTAACAAATGATAACGAAATCGAAAATAGTCTAAGTTATCGATACACGTTTGGTTGCAACAAGTAGTTGATTAATGCGAATACAATTATGAATTCAAGTTGGAATGATATTCCAAGAATATTTAATGGATCCTATAAAATCGCTTATTGTCCTTGCTACATGCTTTCTCGTACACATATATGTACACATACACACGCGCGCACGCGCGCGCACACACACACACACAGACAGACAGACAGACAGACATATATGTAAATAAAGAACATTTAAAATCCAACGTTTGATAATATGTATCTCTATTAATAAGGTAAAAGAAAATGAGTAAATAATTCAACAAAATTTCAAAAAACAGCGATCTAGTTAGATCGAAAAATAACATGGTTTTTTACGGCTTCGATTTTTTAGCAACAAGAAAACCCGATAATCTTTCACTAAGAGCCTTTCACTAAAAGTTTTTCACTAAGCAAAACGTAAGAGAAATCACGAAAATAAGTTGTTCCGATCTAAAGGTATTTCATAAAAAAAAAAGAGAATTCATAGCTAAGAAAAAAAGAAGAGAAAAATTTTTGTTTTCCATTTGATTCCAAATACAATAATAATTATTATTGTTAAATTTAAAGCGAATATAATCTTTAAAATTGACTACTAATTATTCTACTTTTCTGATTAATATCTTTAATATCTGACTAATATCCACATCAAATCGAACCATAACATAAATCTATTTATCTTGAACTTGAAACTGACTTAAGAAAAAAAAATCACCACAACTCGATATTTCCCTCAAAAATAAGCAATATTTCTTTTATAGGACGACGTTGAAAACCGATAATACGAATTCCATGAGAATTTTACTCCAGTATCGAGCAGGCACATTCGAAATCACGATTACAACCACTAAGCTTATAAACCTGATATATAATAACCGATAATTGAGCCATCAAATGATCTCATAATATCTCCTGTTTCTATACAACTTCTAATAAATTTGTTCATTCATCTAAAGAACGTGCTACCTTCCATAATAATAATATTTCAGTATTATTATAGTATGCATAAAAATATGAATCAATGAAGACTATTCTAGTACTTTGAAAAGTAATGTCTGTGAATTCGGACTTACCTTGCGAATTTCCATTTGTCTGTCCTCCCTGGGACGAAGGTATTCCTGGATAATGAGGTGGAGGGTGAGGAGACGAATGATTACTGGGCGACCCATTAGAATGTGGATTGGCAGTCGTTGGGGTCGGCGTGCTCGGTGTTACTTGCTGGGATTGTTGCAAGCTACCGGTTGAAGTCGATGTTGGCACAGAAGTGCTTCCAGTCTCGTTACCTACGTTAACGGGTTGTACTTGTTGCTGCTGCTGCTGCTGCTGCTGTTGTTGTTGTTGTTGTTGTTGTTGTTGTTGTTGTTGTTGTTGTTGCTGTTGTTGTTGTTGCTGTTGCTGCTGCTGCTGTTGTTGTTGTTGCTGTTGTTGTTGTTGTTGTTGTTGTTGTTGTTGTTGTTGTTGTTGCTGCTGCTGTTGTTGCTGTTGTTGCTGCTGCTGCTGCGATTGAATCTGTTGCGACTGTTGTTGTTGCTGTTGCAGTTGTTGTTGCAGTTGCTGTTGCTGTTGTTGTTGCTGTTGCGATTGTTGCTGCGATAGTTGTTGCTGAGGAGTTTGCTGAGGACTCGGTGGTTTTTGCATGTCCATCAAATCACTTATCGTTTCTGAAATTCCATAAAATATCAATTTTTATAATTTGAATTAATCGATAGATGCACCTATTACAACTAAATGAATATGTTTAAACGAATATGTCTGACAAATAGCTGTATGAAATTCCATACGCATACTTATAGACTTATGGATGCATTTGCATAGAAAGCTAAGGAAGGATCAAGTTGTATATCTCTTGAATCCATAACTACAGAGATTGCTTGTCATGAAGTTTAGACTTGACAGACATCGTTGAAGTTAAGCTATGTGTCTACGTTATCATGCTAAGTAATTCTAGAATAACTATTAAACATTCTAAACTCGGTTAGTTCTAGTTTCTCTAAAGAAAATTTATAACTAAGTAACTAACCAACTAAGCAACTCATTCGATAGTTGGTTATTGTTTAACAAATATGAGCTAAGAAGCTTTAAAAGAAAGACAATTATTACTCGTTCTATCTTGAAATGTCTTCATTCATTTTTTTTTTTTACTATTAGTTTCGTCCACGAATCATTTCGAAAGAAATTTAATCTTAAAAAAAGACCGTATATATGTATTTTGAATACACTCACCATTTTCCGGAAACGATGTCGATCTTATAACTGGTAATAAGATTCCCTTTTGTACCAATTCGTCTCTACTAGCACGTACAGAGATTTTTCTTTCAAGGGCTGGAAAAAAATTAAAAAGAAACAATTATATATTCGACGATTTCAGGATCGTACAATATTTTTTATATTCTTTATCTTCCCTCTCTCTCCTTTCTTTTTCTATCTATTTAATTCGATTTATTTTTGCTTACATAAAGAAGCGGCCTCAAATTTGTCCGATTTCTTTTTCCGCTTCCATTTCCAAGGTTTAAAAAGTCTACCAAGGGCTGAAAATTTGCTTTTCCTTTCAAGAGGAGGCGTTCTCGCGCCAGAGCCCAAGCTGTTCGTTCGAAGGGCAGCGCCATTTTGTTTCTTAGCTATAAATAGAAAATAATAGAAAAACGATTATTAAAGATAGTAAATATTACAAATTGCCTGACATTATCATTATTATCGTACGAGTTATCCTTTTTATCGACACTAGAAAAGTAGAATTCGATTTTCCACTTTTTTCTATTAAAGATATGCCGAAGTCGAGAGTATCATTTTCTACATTATCGACCTTTACCGACAAGGGTTTATTACATGTATATTTTCAACCCCTTCTTATCACCCCATCGTAGAACAGAAAAGCAAAGAAAACGGAACTTTTACCGACCAAATAAGTCGGTAAGGTTGTTGCACAATTGTATTATTTACTAATCTCAAATCAATAAATCTAATTTCAAGAATGAATTCCGTTGGTTAAAAAAATATACATTATCTAGATTACGATTTAATAATCCGGAAGTATTTGGGAAAATCGTGTGCAGATGCAAAAAAAAAGAAGGAATTTTTATATCCAGATGCAATCAGCGTCAATTTCTATCTCGGGTATATATCGGGCAGAGATGAAGATGAGCACCGTTATCAGGAGGTTTCCCTTTTGAGGAAATACACGACATTACATTATCCCTCACTGATATTACATCTACGTCACTTGTGTCACGTAACATGAGTTATGCCTTTACGTCGTAGAGTCTTTAACGTAACCTAACTCTAACAACTGCTATTACTTTCCCCCAACTACTATAAGCACTACCTTTAGATTATTCTCCTTTTTTCTCTCGATATGGCAATCGAGGAGATGCGAAAAGTTTGTTGAAAAGGATAAAGCTTTTCGAATTGTGAAAAGATAATGACCGATGGCTATGTCTGTCTTTCCCTTATCAGTTATTTGTTAACAAATCAAAAGTATTTGACATAAAAAAAAATAAGGAAAAAAAAGAAAAAGAGGAAGAGAAAGAGAGAGAGAAAGAGATAGAAAGTACAGACGTACCTGTTATGATCGCTATTTCACATCCGGCTTTGTTAATTAGTTCGATACATTGTTATCAAAGCCAACGCATGAAAGATAAAACATAAAAAGCGCAAAGATCACGTGCTGTGGAAACACGAACGCTACTCAATCGTATAAACAAGGACAAAAATAATGATAGTTTAAAATAGGATTTAAAAATAAAAGGAAAAGAAAAGATCTCTTTTTCCAATTTGAAGCTCAAACTCGATTACAAAGTACATCAAACAAAATTTGATCCTTTCAAGTAAGCTGGCAACTTTGCAATGTAGACTTTATGTTGGCTTAGTGCGATCAATATTTTCCATGAGTTTCGTATACCAAAATCATTTCCACAATTTTCTAACACACGAACATTACAATTTTAACCCTCATAATACAACCATAGTAGCTCGTATTCAGCGTCACCATAAAATCAATACGCGACATCGTAACTACTACATAAATAATTTACGGGATTTCTTCTCGCTACTTACTCGTACTTGCACCTAAATCAATTATGAGATGAAAACAGATAGAAAAAGAGAGAAAAAGAGAGAAAGAGAGAGAGAGAGAGAGAGAGAGAGAGAGAGAGAGAGAGAGAGAGAGAGAGAGAGAGAGAGAGAGAGACATCCTATCAGCGATATTTTTAGATTAAAACGATAAAATTTTCTTTTATGTGAAAGAGAAAGAACGAAGTAGAAACAAAAAAGAGAAGAGATGTTCGAATATAGTCATTCAACGAATTACGTGCAAAAATAGAAAATAGTGTCTTGTGTCATGTATTGTATCGTACATATTGAAACAACCATTAAATGTAGACCGAACTTTTACAAGGCTTTATATATCAATTAACACCGAACAACAACATCGAAACCAGACGAATGATACTCTCGAAAGAGTTGGATTTACACGATCTTACAAAAGTACTTGAAACGAGAGTTTTACAAGAAATATTCCTTACGAGTCTTTACGAGAAATATTTAATATTGTCCAATTAGTTTGAATCCACACTTTTAATCCTCGCGTTTAATCCTTTTCCCTATTTTAAATAAATCTCGAAATATAAACAGAATTGAGATATTTGTATTTATCTTTTTTCAACTATTAAAACGAATGTTTAGATCGAAAAAGAAAGTTCCACAGGTTACAATATCGCTCTGCAAAATATAAGAAAGAACTTTCAACGAAAATATTCATTTCGAAAATGTTTTTCGAATCTCAGCTTTTCATCCTTGGCATCTAACCCTCTGTGTCAGTCGAAAGAAACGAACGGACAAGAGAGGAAGAGGGAGACGAAGGGAGAGAGAAAGAGACAGAGAGAGGGAGAAGCGATGTATATCGATGTTCCCGATATCAAAGTGGAATAATCAAAGCCACAAAGCACTTCCGTTAGTTGGGAGACCTATTCATGTGCCTCAAAGACTCGTCGAGGGCCGTTGCACCAGCGTGTAAACTGCATTCGCAGCAACGGCAATATTAACGTGCCAACGTTAGGATGGGGAAGAAATTCTCAACTCCATTGTTGGCGAGCAAGCGAGAGAGAGAAAGGGAGAGAGAGAGAGAGGAGAGAGAAAGGAGAGAGAGAGAGAGAGAGAGAGAGAGAGAGAGAGAGAGAGAGAGAGAGAGAGAGAGAGAGAGAGAGAGAGAGAGAGGAGAGAGAGAGAGAGGAGAGAGAGAGAGGAGAGAGAGAGGAGAGAGAGAGAGAGAGGAGAGAGAGAGAAGAGAGAGAGAGAGGAGAGAGAGAGGAGAGAGAGAGAGAGAGAGAGAGTTGCTGCACTACGTATCACCGTTTGAGACGTTTAGCCCCTCGTAAAATACAGTGAAGAAAAAAACAAAGCGACGCTCGATCAAGGATGACCTTCTAACGAGCTAGCGGCTCCAACTCGACCGGACTCTGAAGTAGCCTATTTGGTTTCGTCCCTGTGAAATCCTTTGAAAATCTCTTTTCTTTTTCAACAAGATTCTAAATCGATGATAAATTCTTCGGATTTTAAGAGATTCTTGAGAGATTCTCAGAAATGAATTAATTACTTATATTAAGAAAAATGAAAATTCTGTATATATTTATTTTTTTTATGTAAACGACTATTTCATATGCATAATATCGTAAGATATACAAGAAATAAGCAGCTAACATTCGAGTTATTTCAAAATAACGTTTTATGAAAATCGTTGTATACGAAAATTATGATATTAAGAGAGACTTATCGAAAATAATTTTGTTTTCTTTTTCTTTTTTAAGTGAAATTCTATATCTTTTATATAAAAATTAGAAAGAATATCAAATCCCGAATAAAAATCTATTAACATTTATTATGTTCATTCATGATAATACTCTAAACCTACACCCTGTATAACAATTTCGAAGTTTATTCATACGACATTATTACATCTAACAAGTTATAATTAGCTAAGAATCACGAGATATTCTGATAGGAACGATAACATTATTCTTAGGGAATCTCCGAGAAAACGAACTTTATATGTACATTGTGTCTGATACTCTATACTCAAGAGAACTCTCAAAAAATTTCAAAAAAATTCATACTGTGACTATTGTCAATGAGAAAAAGGCTTTGGAAGATGAAATTCTGTAAAGAAACGGGGAAATTTCCTTCGGGACATACAGAAATCCTTATTTATCTGTCGGAAATTACTCCTCGCGAAAACGCGTCTTTAATACTAAACCAATAACGACACGATTAAGCCTTCGAATATTTAATTCAGTTTGTATTTCATTGCTATAGTGCTAGAGATGAGAACATAGAAATATAGGATGACAGTTTTTCAACACGAAATTCATCGCCAAATAGATAAAAAAAATAAGTGCGTGAAAATTGCAAAAATGTATAATAATATTTTTTGATTATTCATCCCTTACAAAATTAAAATAAATTCTTTTTTTATCGTAACATTTTATTATCTTAACTTTCATCTTTATTGAATTATATACGATACATGCAATTCTATAGATACGTCCACAATGTAAAATCCTACTATTTATATATGTAAATATGTACAGATATATAAGCCACGTTAATACTCTAAAACTTAAATTACGTACAATTTTTTTGAATGTAAAGGATCTTCTCGGGAAGGATTACACGAAGTCTAGAAACGATTAGAATTAATTTTAAATTTCTTAATGAATATCGTACAAACGGTGTTTGACAAAATAGGTATAACTTGAGTGAAACTTGAAATTTCCGATTCCGATACCCTCCTCGACTTATTTTATTCCATCATACTTGTTTAAAACAACGAGAAAGAGAGAACGTTCACTCCCTATCTCTCTCGTTCCCCCCTCTCCTCTCTCTTTTGTTCAAGAGGCAACGCGCTAGGAAAGACTATTGAATAGGGTTAGTGGTAATAGCGGTATAGTAAATCTGGGATCAGAGATGGAAGTTCGAGAGAGTTGGCTGAAAACTGCATGAATAAAATAAGGATGCAACGGTTAGTGTACGTAACCTTCAGTCACGACAGCGGCACAGAGTCTTTCAGCGGAAAGATTACGGATGTTACTATGGTTACACCACTTTGTTTTCCGTTCTCCAATTACGTAGCCGCTAATTGTCAACTTGAAACCTTAGATACAACCCTAACGTTAGTACACCGTGTCAGGACACAGGTGTAGGGACACAGGTGTCTCAGCACGTAGTGTATCTATGTCTTGCTGATCATAAATACACTATATGAATCAAATCATAGACTTCTATTATATTGGAATACCGATTTCATTATAATACCAATTTCATTATAAAAAAATACCGATAATATTTGTAGTTTTTCTATTTTATTACAATTTTGAAGGTATTTGAAAACAGAAATTTAAAACCATTGTTATTTTATTAACGATGTCATGTTAGAAAAATTATATCGAAACCGATATAGTATGGAAATTGTTATAAAATCAAAACCAAAGTATGTAATTACGTAACGCCATTTTTTTTTAATAATATCTATAATATGATCGTAAATGAAAAAAAATACGATGTTGCAATCATCGAAATGTCTATCTTAAACGCCAAGTGTCGCGATATCAATCGATGCAGTCTATTC